AAGGGGGGAAAGCAGCGGGGGCGGGGGTTAGGGGTGGTAGTGGGATGAATTGGGAGATTGGGATTGACATATATACACCGATGTGTATAAAATGGATAACTAATAAGAACCTGCTGTATAAACAATAATAAAAAAAGTTCCACATTAAAGATTAAAAAAATTTGTTTTCACAATGCCATACAAAAATAAAATTTAAAAACCTGTGGAACAGAACTGGAATTGGTTGTGAGGCAAGCATAATTAACAATGCCATTTACCCCTGAAACGAATATAACATTGTATGGCAATTATACCTCGATAATTTAAAAACAAAAGCCATTCAGGCGAGCTGCAGTAATCTATCAATCAAAATAAAAGCTGTAGTCGTCAAAAGATAAACATAAATACACACATGCAAATAAACATCCCAAGTAACTAAACTACAAAACCGTTAACAAATGTTAAATACTAAAAGAAAAAAATCAGCATACGAGTGTCGACAGTCTCTATTCTCTTTCTTTAATCAGATTTTACAAATGTTTGTTTGATTTTTGCAGAACTACTGAGCCTAAATACTCTGCAATGCCATTACACTTTTTGTAAACAGGCCTCTAAGTTTTGGTTATATTCTGTTCAAAACCAAATGGGACACACACACACCCAAAATAAACAACGAAATAACTCCTGCAGCTTTTGAAGCTTTTAACAAATTCCAATTAATAAAACAAAGCTTAGGCTCTGTTAGTTTAAAGAGCTGTGATGGTGACAGGAGTCATGTCTGATAATGTCACTACAGGCCCCGGAGGACGTAGGTGCCATTTATTGTCCCTGCTTGATGAAAGGAAAACACGTACAGAGGCGAGAAGTGCCCACGGATCCAGGAGTAAGGCAGGAGAGGTCACGGCCTCGGTTTACACATGTGTAAAATGGGGGTGATATCAGTACTGCCGCCCTCACAGAGCTGCTTTGAGGATTGAACAAGGTCATTGATGGGAATTGCCAGGCTCAATAAATCTAAGTGACTGTTGTCAAAAAACAAAAACAAATAGAAAAACAAAGCTTACAAATAAGAAGACATTAAACTTTACTCCAAGAAAAGCAAGAGTAGAAATGAACAAGGATGAAGGTGTAAATGATGTACAGGCTTGAGTTCTGAACTTCCTTAATACGTTTGACAGAATATTCTAAATAATTGTGAAGAGAAATAACTTATTGGAAGAGTCTTGTCTAACTACATATTGGAGGAAGAACGGTACTTGAATGAGGCAAGAATAGGACCTGGGACAATATTTGGAGTGAAATACTTATACTCTTGAGTATGAAGGAAATGTTTAAGGATATCCTTCAAATACAGAATTTGTCTGGTCCTACCAAATACTTCAGCATCCATAGAGCGTGTTTTCACAATTAAAAACAGGGTCTAGATAAATGAGTCAGTTCAAAGTGTCAAATTTCAAATCTTTTGGATTTTAAAATGAAACTTTGAGGTGGATTGGAGACAATTCATTAAAATTAAAAGCACTAAGACTATTGACAAAATTCAGGAAAATATTGACATAATTTTGGAGACATAAATAGCTTAAAAACCGTTTAAATGTAGGAATATACTCTAAAGCTTTTTATTCAGCTTAGACTATTTTTTGTTTCAGATAATCCATATTAAGATGTTTTGACATTTGCTTTAACGTACATGGACAAATATTGGTTTTCAGGGGTGTGTTATTTTTAGTTTAAAAAGAATTTTATTTTTGAAAATAGTTTTGAATAGAACTACATTATAGACCATCAATGTTATAAAATTAATTTGTCAGCCAATAAATAAATTTTTAAAGAATATCAAATTTCAATGATTTGGGCCTCAAAATACACCCTGGGTTGAACAGTAAACTTGAAAGTAACACCTATTTTAAGTTCCTTTCCAGTGCAATGTTGTTTTTCATTCTAAGCAATAGCAATTGATGAGTGCTTCAAAATTCCCATTTGAATTGCACAGAAATACATAGAACAGAGTTTGGGTGTCCAGTCATCCTGGGTCCAGTAACGCCAAATGACAGATGCTCCTGGACAAGGAAGCAGAGGTCTGCTCCTAGCAGCTTCTAATTTCTCTCTCTCTCTCTTTCTTTTTTATTTTTGGACTTTTTGTCTCACCCCAGCTCCCCCATACTGAAATTTGCCCTTAATCTGCAACTCTTCAAAGTCCAGGATTTGGGTTAAGAAAGTTCTGTGTAAATCTTTTTAATGGCGGTTTGTGATGGTGCAGGGTTTTGATGTTCTCATGAGGTACTACTTGCATTCTTTTAAACGTCTTTAAACATCGCGATTCACATTTACTTAAAAGAATCTCTACTAAGTAGTGAGAAATGTCAACAATGTGAGTTAAAAACAAGATACTCTTTTGTGGTCACAAGCCAAAAAATGTTTTAAAAAAACTTACTTTAAGGCCATATCATTACCTATGTGCTAGCTACCAGCTAAGTGGAAAGCGTTAAAATCATGGCTCAAGTGACAACTCATGTGTCATGCCTGTTCTTAATTACATGACATTGGTCTAGAGGAAACGTGGTTTCAGGGTCTTTGCTGCATTACAGAATGCAGCCGTAGAAAGTCAGAGCGACGTGGTCACCAAGAGTTTTAGAGAAAGTTATGATTAGCTTCTGGCACAAAGACCAAGGTTTTTTCATCGTTCAAAGTGAATCTGATGGCTCACAGCAAACAAACCTGTTACAAAGTGTTTTCTATAACCCATGAATCATGTGTGGTGCAAGAGTGCGCTTCTCTGCTGCATCCTTCTATTAGTCATTTCTATCTTTATTGGAGGTTTAACCCTTAATGCTTCAGGGTTAATACCTTTTGAAAATAACTCAGACGAGAATGCTGAGGTCAATTTAACGTGACAATGCATGAGTTGCCACGTATGGGTCTTTGCATGCTAGGATCTATTTCTTAGTATAAAACACACATGTTCCAAAGGTCATAGATACTCCCAAGGACTTGAAGCTAAAATGAAGGCAATTTGAAGACCCAATATCCAATAGCAATCATTCATGCAATTCTCAGGACATGACTTTCCAGATACAACTTTGACACATGTGAGCAGTGAAATCACCATTCTCACATGGCTGTGATCCTTTTCATTTTAGATGACACTTCTCTATATGTCATTTCATTGGATTTACAAAGTCACCTGTGAGGAGGATAGACCAATGTTACAATTCTCCCTAGATTTATATATCAAATAGAAAACCTGAAAAAGAGCCAATTCTCCTTTTTCAAGTTTTACATGGCTTCATTTGATCCCGAATACAATCTAATAGGAAAAACAGCGTAACCATTAGATTCCTTCTCTGCCCAAGGCTGTTGAAGTTGAAAGGAACATGAAATTGTGCAAACTTGGTCAAGTACAAAGAAAATTTACTGTAAGGATCACTGTCCAACCTAGATGTACAAGTAACACCATCCTGCCAGACTTCATAGGAACTGAGATGGAAACTAAGGCTGTCTTCTCTCCCCACCAAGGTCACCTTGAATTTCTTATTTCTGCTTTTCTTCATCTCCTGTTTGGCTCAATTGATTTCCTCCAGGACTTGCCACTGCAGGCAGCCCCTAGCTTCCCAGACACAACTGCATAGCTACAGCTCCACCATCATTGGGTAAGTAGTTTCAGGGCCTCATAAAAACACAGAAAATCTGGATGACTCAACCCTTCCCATGAGCTGGTTCCCTTGGGGTAGAGTGTCAGCTGTGGATAGGGGTACGCGAAGTTCTAGAACAATGCTGGGAAACGAAACACCTAATTAACCTCTGTTAATACTCTCTATGTGCCAGATAAGTATAGATAGTATTATTATGCTCATTTTACCAATGAAGAAACTGATGCACTGACTTGTCAAAGGCTGCAGGTCAGAGACTTGTGAAGCCATTCTTCTCATTCTGGGCAATTTATTCCAAAACTGCTTTTATCCACTCTGCCATATTGCATCTCACAGTCTCTAAATTTAATACTCTCTCAGCCTTAAGGAATCATTTTGAGATGTTTATGGAGCTTAACGTTTGAAGCCAAAGTTTATCTGGTTCCTTAAATATCTAAGAATTATTGAAGAACATTGGGAATAAAAGGAAGACAAAAGTGGGACACCCACATCACACAAAACAGTGAGACAAAAACAGGGAGACACTGTTGTAAGGTGCAAGGTAATAAAATAAAGATGACAGGAAACAACCGATTTCATCTATGGGTACTCAGCGTGTGATGAAGCTAATCATTCAAATCATCAGAGAAAGCCTAAACTATGCCCCAGATGAGACAGAGACATTGGCCACGAGGACAGTGTCATATTTCACAACAGGCAACATTTTAGATTTTAAATTCTGGACTCATTAAAGGTATACGTTATTTATTGAATACATATTTATGAAACATCACTATTACCTAATGCTACACAAGGCAGCATTGACGCATATCCAAAATGATTCTTTTGTCAGTTTTGTCATTTCAATAAAATTGATCCTCTTTGAGTCTAATTCTTTCACTCACCAAACATTGACTGAGCACATTCTCTGGGTCATGCACTAGGATTGCAGTCAATTAGCACAATCTCTGCCCTTAATTACCAAGTATGTTATGCTTCTGTATTTCCCAAGGTACCCAGTTTAATTCTTGTCTATAAAGAGTTTTGAAATATTCATTGATGGCCAAGAACTTTACTGTGCTATACCTTGAGCATATAGAAGAGGAACAAAAGAGGAAAGGGAGAAAGAGGAGATGGAAGGGAAGCAGGAGGAGAAAAGGAAAAAAGAAAGAAAAAAAGGAAGGAAGGAAGAAAGGGAGGGAGAGAGAGGAAGGAAGGAAAGACGGAAAGAAGGAAGGAAGGAAGGAAGACTATTGACCAGTCCCTGCATTTATGAGAAAACGTATATTCTAGTTGGACAGATATACAAACAAATTATTTCAATATAATATGATAGATGCCAAAAAGGATATAATGACTGACTGCTAGAATGCACAAAGGAAGAGGACTTACCTGAATGTAGGGATCCCAGGAAGATTTTCTCAAGGTCATGATGCTGGAGCAAGGTTCTAAAGGCCAACAGAAGTCAACCACTGGAATAAAGAATAGGTACAGATTGAATAAGTACATACTGAATTGATTGAATAAATAATGAATGATTGATTGAATGGATCAATAAGTAAGGGGATGGAAGAATCAAAAATGTGTAACGTGATTCTGACCTCTAGGCTTTTAATTAGCCACTGGAGAAAAGAGATAGGAACACAGGGACTCAGTTATTTTCCCAGAACAAATCTAAAGAGAGCTACTCTGGTAGAATGCTTTCGGCTGCATGTAAGAGAATACATGACAAAACAAGGCATAAACAGTGTTTTGTACAAATGCTTGTACATGAATCTCTAAGGATGCAAATGCTTAAGACAGGAATTTGGTTATTTCACAGCTCAATTTCACAGGCCTCTGGGTAATGTCTCTCCAGTTCTCTTGTATAAAAACAACATTCCAGGTGTGTGTTTCCTTCACTCTCACACTACTCCACTACAACGCTACTCACTTCCAGTGTGTGGTTTGGAAAACCCACACAGCAAACAATTCTGTGACACCTGGATGTCATATTATTTAACTTAATTCTGACACTTTCTACCTGGAGATACTGGAGATAGTGTCAGACCCTACAGGTTAAGGGCTCCATCCCACAAGACTACACCCCTCACACACACACACACACACACACACACACACACACACACACACTTCAGACGCCAATTGCAAGTCCAGGTGGTTACCTGTGCTTCTGACCAATAGTCTATAAACTAGAGGCTCCCACAACCCCCTCTTAGGGTTTGATTAATTTGTTAGTGACTCACAGAACTCAGGAAACCAGTCTACTTACTAGATTACCATTTTATTACAAATGATATTAAAGGATACTAAAAAACAAATAAACAGCCAGGTGAAGAGATATGTAGGGCGGGGTCCAAAAGGGTCCTGAGCACATGAGCTTCTGTCCTCGTAAAGTTCAGGGTACTTCAATTTCCAGGTACATGGGTGCCTCCTGGTTCAACCTGGAAGCTCTCTGAAACCGTCCTTTTGGGTTTTTATGGTGGCTTCATTACATAGACATGACTGATGCAATCATTGGCCATTGGTGATTGAAATCAATCTCCAGCCCCTCTCCCCTCCCTGGAGGTTAGGGGGTGAGGCTGGAATTTCCAATCCTCTAATCAAGGTTGGTTCCCTTGGCAACCAGCCCCCATCCTTAGGGACTTTCCAAAAGTCACCTCATTATCATAAACTCAGGTGTAATTGAAAGAGGCTGGTTACACCAGACAAAAGACATCCATTTCACATTTATTACTCAGTTTCAGGAACTGAGGACCAAAAGAAATATTCTAACAAAAAATGCCCTTTGTTCCATTAGTCATGATTTTATCACATGACCCTGCTTAGATTCAAAGAAGGCTTAAGAAAAAAAGCATCTTCCATTTCAGCCTCTTTAGAAGGAATTGGATTTGACCATCATAGAAGGAATTGGATTTGACCATCATAGAAGTGCGGGAGAGCAGTATCAACACATGAGCTAGGTGAATACTAAAGAGAAGACCTGCCAACACGTACCTGTGATGACCCTCTATATCCTAAGATGACACATGTGAACGTCAGTTCCTAAATACGAACAGTAAGGGATAGTCATTTAGATGTGTTCTGTAACTTGTCATATGTCTTATGCTTCTCTTATGCATAGGATTGTCCCCATAATAAAAGAAGTGACTTTCTGTTAAAGATGATTTAGATAGCAACGCAGAAAACATCTCTTCTCATTGTTGGTCTTACACCTTATGTCAACTCTAAGGAAATCAATGCCTCCACTAGAAAGATGGAGCTGAGAGCAAGGGAACATCGATTCCATGCCCGGCTTTCTACCAGGAACTTGACACCCATCCTCTCATTCAGTTTTTACACTGATCCTAAGAGGCAGCGTTAAACCGGAGCTGAGGTTCGCTGGGTCAAGTTTTTGTCTCAAGTCAGAGAGCTGAGTAATGGTAGAGCTGGGTGTCCATCCATGGCTCGTTAAAGAGCATCCCTCTGTTAGAACATGTACATGTCAGGAGGTGATGCCACGTGTATTGAAATACGATAAACATTCTACTTTTGTAGATTCTCCTGCTGGGAATCTCAGCACTGAGGAAAGCAGGAGATGTCTCTTTTAAGCCCCTCTTGCTTATTCATTTAATATATCATTGGGTCTCACAATGTAGGGTCCATTTTCCTAGTCCAGGACATTTACACAGCTTGTGCAATGATAACCATCAATCACATTCGAAACAGCTACGGGAATGCCAGTGGTTTGGACTCTTTGCTTTCACTTCTGAGGGCCAGAGTTCAATCCCTGGTCGGGGAACTAAGATCGCACAAGCCACACAGCATGGCCGGAAAAAAAAAAGAAAAGAAACAACTACAAGAACAAAAATACCAAGGGTTTGCCTGAGCTTTGCAGAACCTATTATCCTAAAGATTATGTAATTTGTTTTGAACCTACACATTCATTATTCACTCAACAGATATTAACAGACCATCATGCCTTGGACACCTGTAGATGTTTATAAATGTGGATTTGTGATCAGCCTTTAATTCACCAAATATTTCCTGATTATCTCCTAGGTGCCAGGCATTGTGATAGATTCTGATGGGTTAAAGAAATCAGCAAAACCTGGTCCCTGCCCTCAGGAACTCTGTTCCTTGAGAATTATTCTTCAATCTCTCCAGAAAAAAAAAAAGATGTGTTCTGCCCTTTTCCCTAATGTAGGAGCATAATCACATGTATAAAGTCGTAGATTATGTGCTGGCTTTTGTGTTCTCGCCCACTCTAGATGCATTCTCTAGCCTTCTCCACACTGTTCCAGTCCCTGTGGCCTGCTTCACCTGGCTTCCCTTGCCTCATGGCATCCAGTTGGGTTTGCCAATGAGAGGCCCCAGTGGGAAACTGGAGGGGGGAGGGGATAAGATGCAGTTTAAGTTATTTCTTTTCTGCTCCCTCTCTGTGTCATCATGGTGTGTGTGGGAGGGACTATGTCCCCCCGGGGACTATGGCTCCCACTGGGTGCCCTCCTCCAGAGTCCTGGGTGGGTTTCTCCAGAGTTCCAACTCTCACTGGGCTCCAATAACACTGTTTTCCTTTCATTCTCTTGGCCGTGGGAGTGACAATGGCTTGTTGCCTTTACTGGTCTCTGGGTGCCTTACTCTCTCTTATTTGTTCTCTTAACCTGGCACAGACATCTATAAAAAGTCCCTGTGTTAAAATCTCCTCATTTGAACCATCTGGGGCAAATGCTGTTTCTTAACTGGGACCCTAGCTAATCAGAATATCGAAGTTGACAACATTGGAAAAAATCATCAGATCTCTCCTTTTCATTTTACAGGGACAGAAATCAGGTCCAGAGAGCACGGCACTTGAATGAGGTTGCTTCATCCACGGGAAGAAGTAATACCAGCTCACCTGCCTCTCCAGCCCCTGCTCCTGTGACACGCACCCCAGACCACCTCCCAGCCTGAGACGTGTTTCCTTTGTGGGGTCTGTTCTTCCAAGCTTTGGACAATGTCCGCTTCTGCCAGCGTTTAAGCCTGCAAGCTAAGGACATGAATGAACTGAGTCATCCCCACAGAGCTTCATTAATTTCAAGGCAATTTAAGATTTCTGAGTCATAGGTTTCAGCCACTTAGACTTTCCCAGCTGGTACTGCACTTGCCCACACACATTTTTCTTTCAAGATTGCATCTGGGTCTAGCTGCGTGGCTTGCCCACACTTCATCAGTTTGGGAAGAGAAATCGACCTCCTCGAGTGATCCGTGCCGGGCTATGCCTTCTCCATTTGCTGTGTGCATTGCAGTCTTTGCATGAGGACTTAATGGAATTAGCTGTCTGCAGCTCGATCCAGACTCAAACCACAGGAGACACGCACATTTCCACATTCTATATCCAACACGATATTTCACCCAGCCTCCCAAGGAAACTCAGTTATACCATATGGTGACTCCACTCTCTGAATAATATTTAGCAACTCGATGAACAAAGACTGAATCATATCTTAACTATCTTGGCCAAATATTGTTTTATATAGCCACCGTATTAGTAATATATATGTTTTATTTTTTACACTAGTACTTCCTGCGACGCCCACTGGAAATGAAGAGCTAGACCTCACTGGAAGGAGCCTGCACGGTCAAGGCATTCTTGCTTATTAGCGATCTTCTATTCAATATTGCATTGTATGTATGATACATTCAGAACCTCTGCTTTTTCTTTTCCTCCAGAACAGCTGCTGGATTGAGCAACAGTCTCCCTGAGTAACACAGCAGGGAATCCTGGGGCATTTCCCAGACACAGAAAACAAAAGATGTGTATCCATGGGGAGGATAGGGCTGGAGCTGTCGCCCTCCCACCAGGGAGAAGTCCTATAGTCTCAGGATATGGGGAGGAATCTTAGCAAGCCTCTGTGATGGGTCCCTGTGGTTAGGTGATCTTAAGAAAGTCACTTTCCTTTCTTAGCCACAATTATACAAGGATAATAATGAACACCTTTGATAAACTGGTGGACAGTAGGCAAGGCCTACGTCAGTCATTTATAATGTGCAGGCACTGTTGAAGCCTTCTATGTGCTAAAATAGATAACCAACAGGGACCTACTGTATAGCACAGAGAACTATATTCAATATTTTGTAATAACCTATAAGGGAAAAGAATAAGAAAAAGAATATATATATATGTATATATATATATGTGTGTGTGTGTGTGTATATATATATATATATATATATATATATATATATATATAACTGAATCACTTTGCTGTACACCTGCAACTAACACAACATTGTAAATCAACTATACTTCAATAAAAAAATGTAATCAGAAAGAGCAGCAAACAAAATGTCTTATATGTACAACCATAGGTAAGATGCAATCTATACTTTCAATGAACTAACCAGTTGAAAATAGGAATATGCAGGGATCATTTCGGTGAAATATGGCTTGGCTAAGATAGAGCTTTGCACAGTGGAGACTCTTAGCTCAACCTGAGAATTCCTGAAAAAG